TGGGGAGCTGGGATGGGATCTGTCCTGCAGGATTGCATCCTGAATCCTCAGCACCAGCTGCTGCCTGGAGCTGTCCACCCTCAGGTCTTTAATATCCCTGCCAAAACGGGATGGAGTATTCCCTGCTGGATCATCTCCTTAGTCCTCAGCAGCAGGAGCTGCCTGGAGCCCTCCAGCCTCAGGTCTTTATTATCCCTGCTAAATCCCATCTCCAGCCAGATTTCCAGGAAAACGTCCCATCCCTATTGAAACCATCCGGAGGGGGTTTGGCTCCGGATAATTTTCCTTCTCGTTGCCGCACGGGTGGATGCCCGGGAACCCTCCTCAGCGTCCTCCTTCCCTCCCTGCGGCGCCTGGAGAAGGGTTAGGAAAGGCACTGGCACCCTCCCGTGCCCACATCCACGAACTGCAAGGCAGGTGGAATCCCGGCTGGATCCCCCCGCGGCACGAGCTGCTGGACGGAGCAGGAGCGGGAGGAACCTCTGCTGCCTCATCACTGCGGCACCTCACGGGAAGCCACTCCAAAAATCCCTTCCTTCCACACATTCCTGTGCTCCAGGGCTCAACCTGGAGGTCACCAGTCCAGGGAAATCCTGGAATGGTTTGGGTTGGAAAGGGCCTTAAAGCTCATCCAGTGCCACCCCCTGCCATGGGCAGGGGCACCTTCCACCAGCCCAGGTTGCTCCAAGCCCCGTCCAGCCTGGCCTTGGACACTTCCAGGGATGGGGCAGCCACAGCTTCTCTGGGCAACCTGTGCCAGGGCCTCCCCACCCTCCCAGGGGAGAGTTTCTCCCCAGTATCCTAAAGATCTAAGGATCAGTTGGTCAAAAAGCAGCTTGAACCCCCAGACTGGAGCCTGGTGAGCAATTAGAGACAGAGATGAACCCGAGGTGAGGGCACAGGAGGGGGATGTGGAGCCAAGAACACAGTGTGAAACAAGCTAAAAGCAGCTTCACTGGGGCTGAAGTGCTAAGAGGAGGGAAAAGGAAACACTTTCCAGTAAAGCTTTGCCCCTGGGATTGCCCAGAGGCCTCCAGTGCATCAGCATCCCCCTTTCCCATGGCAAAACCTGGGGAAATAGGAACAGATTGAGGGTAAAGCCAGACACACCCCACACCCCCTCAGCCTCCCCATCCCTGAGACCCCCAGGCAGATGCACCAGGATGCCATTCCAAGGGTGTTTAACACTCCAACACAGTGAATCAGTGCTTTATTTTCAGCATGGAAAGAGGTATGAGAGCAGCAGTGAGCTCCAGGTAACGAACTGGTGTGTCAGACTTTTACTGGTGCCCTCAGAGCTGTGGGATTGAGGCAAAACACACGGAGAGAAACCACCCCCCCCCAGTGTGTCCCTGAGTGCAGCTGCCCCAGCAGCACAGCCCCAAAAACCCCACAGGTCAGAGCTTCTCCCATCTTCAAAAATCCTTGGGCATTGATTCCAGAGGAGGATTTGGTTTCTGGGACAGGGAGGGAAGGCCACGAATCAGGTGCTGAATTAAGGAGGACTCAGCATGACAGCCCTTGGGAGCACCGAGGCAGATGTGCAGATGTGGTTCCTGGAGCCTGAGCTGTGCCAAGAGAGCCCAATCCCGGCCTCCCTCCCACCAGGGCACAGCCAGGAGGGTCCTGAGTGCCACTGGGGTTTATTGCACAGTGATAAACCTGGTGTAAGGCCAAGGCAGAGCCGAGGACACGGAGCCAGAGCCATCTCTACTGCGTGCAAGGTGGGCAGAGGGGGAGACCACCTGGATGCTGCCCAGGGGGATCATAAAACATCGTTGCCCCAGCACCCTGGGAGGGTTTATATAGGACAATTCATACCGTGATCCTGGCCCAGAATAGCACCAGGGATTAACCCAGACTCTGACCCCAGCTAATCCAGCGTGACTCCCTGGCAGTGCCAGCGCAGCGACTCTGCACTGCATCAGTGCCTGGCTCTGCTCTGCAGAGTGTCCTGGCTGGCTGGAGTCAGCAGCAAACCCTCCCCAGAGCTCAGCAGAGGCAGGAGCGCAGGCACAGCCGCTCCTTGGATGGGCAAAACCCAAAGGACTCTGCTCCTGGCAGAGGGGAGGATGCTGGGGAGCACAGCCGGGTCTGGAGGGGAGAAGGGTGGGGAAAATGAAGAGCTGTGGGGTTTGCATCACCCTCAGGTCATACAACCCTCCACGTAGCAGCACAGAACTTCAACAACCCAATTTTCCCCTCACCTTCCCCCCGGGGCCTCCCGGGATCCCAAGTTGGAACTGGACCAGGAAAACCAGGAGGGAACAGTGAGAGGGAAACCAGGAGGGAACAGTGAGAGGGAAACCAGGAGGGAACAGTGACAGGGAAATGAGGGGTGAACCACGACAGGGAAATCAGCGGGGAACTGAGTCAGGGAAACCAGGAGCTTCCTTAGGTTTCCTCTTGCCACAGTGCCCCTTGCTGGGATGGTGTGGAGGCAGGATCAGCCCAGGGTAGAGTGCCAGGGGGAGCAGCTCGCTTACTTCTCCTTCAGGTCGTTGTCAGCTTTACCTAAAAGAGGGGGAGGGACGATCAGGGCTCGTGTTTCTGCCTCCAGAACCACCAGCCCTTTTTATATGAGTGTTTTGCTACACTCCTCACAACCATCCCAGCACAGCAGCTGGTGCCCAGGGTGCTGCTCAAAATCTGGCCTCCTGAGGCCTTTTTCTGACCTGGAGGAAGCAAAGAGCACAATCACCAATGGGAAGAAGCCCTGCCCTTCCCACAGCCCAGCTCCCTACCCACAGGGTTGCAATATTCACAGCTCCCACCCAACTTCCTTCCAGTACCTAAAGGGCCCACAAGAAGCTGCAGAGGGACTTTCCACCAGGACATGGAGGGACAGGACATGAGGGAATGGGTTCAAACTGACAGAGGGGAAATTTAGATTGGATATTAAGAAGAAATTCTTCCCTGTGAGGGTGGGGAGGCCCTGGCACAGGTTGCCCAGAGAAGCTGTGGCTGCCCCAGCCCTGGGAGTGTCCAAGGCCAGGTTGGATGGGGCTTGGAGCACCCTGGGCTAGTGGAAGGTGCCCCTGCCCATGGCAAGGGGTTGGAATGAGATGATTTTTCAGTTCCCTTGCAATTCTCACCATTCCAGGATTCTATAACTTGCCCAAGAAGTGATAGCAACCCCCCCCAGCCACACCATGGGAGCTCCCTGCCCTCACTTTGCTCTTCCAGCAGAAACCCCCCAACACTCAGCTGCCCCTTGGACCCCCAGAGATCCGTCAGCACATCCAGTCACACACTGCTCCTCCAGGGGGAGGCTGCGGAGCCTCCAGCTGATCAGTCTGACAGAGATTCAGGGCTCCCAGGCAGCTCCTTGGCTTATCAGCCCAGCCAGAGACGCCCTGCCCAAAGCAGTGCAGTGCACACACCGCCCGGGGCTATCAGCAGCTCCCCAAAAACCACTGCACGGGCTGGAACAGCCACAGCTGGTACCTTTCGGGACGAACTTCAGCGAGCTGCTGAATATTCAGAAGCGGGACTGGCCCCGCTTGGGCCCGTCGTTGAGGAATTCGTGGCCCAGCCCGTTGCCGCACTTGCCACAAGTGACCTGGAAGAGCAAGCAGAGGGTTGGCAGCAGTCAGGCTGTCCCGGCCCGGGCTCACGGGACACGAGCCCGTGGGGCGTTTTGCCGCCGCCCCCCCGAGGGTTTGGGGACGAGCACCTTGAGAGCCCCCGGGCGCTCCTCCCGCTTGGCCACGCTGTCCCCACGCAGGGTCTCGGTGAAGGCCGGCCAGGGCGAGGAGTGCTCGTACTTGGCCCGGCTGGAGAACAGCTCATGGCCGCACTTGGCACACACGTAGATGCCTGGGGGGGGGGTGCGGGAGAGGGGTCAGTGCGGGGGACGGCGGGGGTGACACGTGAGCGCGGTGACACGGGACACCCGCGGGGGACTTTGCCCCGCGTGGGTCGGTGCCAGATGCTGCTGCCGCCGGACCCCCAGGGACCCCCCAGGGCAAGGCAGGGGGGTGGAGGGGGCAGAACCGCTCTCCCCGTGGGGGTCCCCGCAGGACAGGATCCCCCCAG